GTAATTTTGTTAAAAAATCTAAGACATTTTTATCGTACAGGAAAAAGAACCTACTTTACAATGGGTTTTCCCTTGATTATTTAAATTAAATGAATGGTGGATCTTACAAATTTTCTGTTTGTACATATTTATTTGAGAAAACATATTCCCTTTATTTGATTAACTCTTTACCTCAGGGACAGCCTATAACAATAGTGTTGCTGTTACTAAGTTATACTCCTTCTATAGACAGGCCTATTCGTTGTCATTTAAAGAGACATGCACACCCGACCAAGCCTGTTTAACAGGTTCAGGGATAGGTAATTGTTGCAATAAATCTTTCTTTTTCTTTTTCAGATAGATGTACACTTTTAGTCACTGCCGGTAAAGGACAGTCAACCAGTACGAGATGTATAAAAGCACTTTCTTACAAGGAAGATGTAAATGTAGGACGTGGCAGTGAAATCTGTATACATTGTACCATGCCATATTCAGGAATAAAAAGGGAGGAAGACGTATCTAATCCACCAAATCATGACAAGAGAATAAACGTATTGCATTCTGCATTCCTTAATTATAACAACAAAGTACAAAAAAAAATTCTTCCAAATCTAAAACTGCGTTTTGGGAGTGAGTATTGGCCTCATCAGGTGGCAACTCGAAACTAATATAATCTCCATTCACATTTGTTAGTTAGTATGTAGAGGATACGCACTCCTGAAAATATCCCTATATTCTGCCATTCTCGTGCAATGTATATGGTATTCACTGTGAAACCATTCAATTCCGTTTTTTTAAATAGCACGACACAAATAATCCAGCATCAGAAAAGTGCTGGAAATAGTGGCATAATATTTAACGCCCGATTCTACTGAACGTCACGCTAGACGACAAGACAAGCGCCCTTTTGAATAGGTTACTCAACGCAATTTTACCGTTTGCTGCTATTGTCTGGTATGGTATCATAACAAAACATATATCTATTGTCTGGTATGGTATCATAACAAAACATATATCTATTGTTTGGTTAAATAAATACCTTGTGTATTGCAAAGATGTACCAAAACAACCACTTGTTCTGCCGTAGCTTCATTTGAAATGAAAATAAAAATCGTGTCGATGAATAATAGAAAGTACCATTCTGATTGGCCTATACTAAAAGTGACTTCTCCACGTGTGAAGATTTAACATTTGTATATCTTAACTTCAAGAAGATATGATTTTCTAGTAAATGAATACTTCTTGATATTTCACTGGTTGAAATATGTAATAAACATGCATATTCACAAGATGAACTTGTCCAGAATTGAGTCTCTGGGGTTTAACACAGACAATCTGAGTTCGATTTCCATTACAAACCTTGACTGTTCAGGGTTGTGTACATGTGCTAGTGTTGTTATTCCTAAAGCGAAGATCATTACCCGTGGCGCACGTGAGGACTATGCCTCTTATTTCCGTTTGCAGGAATAAACGCATACGTACATGTATCATAGATATAAATATTGATAATAGAAATAAAGTCAGTTCACAAAAAAAACCAAAAAAAACCAAGAGAATACCGAAGTGTCACTTAAAAGCTCAAGAATCGATAAAGCTATGACAAAATGTGAAAACTAAAAAGGCTAACATGGATAACCTTGACCGGAGGGAAGGGGACGTGTCTTCTGCTTTATTACAGACACCGGCCATGTAAATCTAGGTCAGTTCCAGGTAATGACATGTCCTCAAAAGGAGAAATATGACTATTGGTAAGGAGACAAGGCAAAATAATGAGTAATAAAAGTTCAACATTCATGACAAACAAAGAAATAGCAAATTTCTTAACGAGATTAAAATTTCAGCAATGAAATTTGCATATAGTCTCCATCAACCGTTACGTCAGGAAATCCTGTGTTTTAAGATTGTCAGTCAGACGGTAACATCATTCACGGAAATCGTGATATTCTGAGCAAACTCTCGAATACCGCCGAATCAACTGCGCCATATAAACACAAGAAGTTGGGGAAACAGGTATGTTACTACCAAGAAAGGGAACATTTCGAATCGAAATCGTCCTGCCTACTGCGCAGCTGAGTAGCTGGTCATGTTGTGGGCGAAGATCGAAGAAAGCGGTTGACTTAGAAAAGTCTGTAATGTCCTGTATGGCAAATTCAGCAAGATATACAGGATCGGCGTGATCAACATGTTCTTGTCATTTTACCAATGGCACATCGTAGCTATGTCTGACAGAGACATTGATAAAACCCAGGCCAAGGAAATTGACTCAGGGTAACAAATAAACCCATACAATAGAAATAATGTTACTCAGACCCTAGAAAGCTTAAAATTCAGAAAAAAAACTGTATGTATTCATCAAAGTTCCAAAGTTACTTTTTTCGCTCAATTTTGAATAAAAGGCAAAATGAATGTTACGGTAATCAACATCTTCAAATCTTCTTACTTAAATAGTGCTATCAGTACGGGACGTCGTTTCAAAATATGTAAAAGAATGTCACCGAGCTATGGTAGTATAATGGCTTAATATACTGTGCATGGAAATAGAGCGCGTTTTAAGGTTTAAATGGAATCCCCGTAGACCTGCACGTTCTGACTTACAACAATCTGCAAATCTAGAGGACGATTGGGCTGATTACTTTGATTAATAGAAGATACATATCTCAGGTACCTATTTATATTTTATTCTGAATTATGCATTCTTGTCAACTTTGAATGAGTCAATGCAATGCCGGCAATCTAAGCAAGATAACAAATACATTTTTTTTTTAAGTAGCCGGTCACGTACTCAGGTGTAACATTGTTTGCGCGTATTGCCTATTTCTAAAGAAATCCCGGGAATAGAGGTAAAATTATACAATTTTAACTTTGATATATATCATTAAAACACATTTAAAAGGGCGTATCCGAATAACCAAAATTAACAGGAAGAAATTACTACCCCTTGCTATTCTATCTTGTGATCTCGTACCGTGGTTATACAATCATAGATTATATGGCTAATACACTAAAGTTGTGCACTGTTCATAGCACTAAAAATGTCTATAATTGGCGTCACTTAGTATATAACACATAGCTACATATATATAACAATTCACTTCTTAGGTGTGGGAAAGGTAGTCACACCTTTGTTATAACATTGTAAACAGAGACAAGTGTCTTGGTTTTCACCGTGTTTGTGACGAACGCCTTTTAACAAACATCATGTTTGGTTATTGTCATGCTTATACAATACATGTCTTTTTTAAAATAAAAGACAAATTAGATTATAAACGAATACGAAAAGCTAGAGCAATTGTAAGACATGTATATCAGTAATATTTAAGCCGACTACTTAGTTCCTGGCGAATTAAATAAAATATATGTTAAAGTAAAAATGTACATGTACATATTGTTATATAAAAATAAGTATCATACGATCGTTATAAAGAAAACTTAAATCAAAATTCATCAACATAAGGCTATACATTTGTCTTTCAACTCCTACTAAAACTGGACTCAATGCAACTACCAAATGTTACCTGTTTCATTTGCAGATAAATTTGACCAGATTAACATTGCCGGTGTATATAATTTTGCGAAGGGAGATAACTATTGACATGTTTAAACAACGATAAAACTCGATGAGATTTTGCATTTTTTATTGAAGCAACACAAGAAATTGTGCAAACAACCAAGAGCGATCAATCAGCAAAATATGATCAGCTCACGGTTAGTAGCTGTAGTAAGTGACAAGCCATGTCCGCCCTAGAAATTCTCCCTCCTGCTTCCCATTCTGTCTTGTGTACAAATCGAAAACAACGTAGATCCACAGGGGTTCGTTACAAATCATAATGTCTGAAATACAAATATCATGCTATAAGTGGTCAGTGAGGTAGCGGGTAGTGGGTAGTGAGGTAGTGAGGTAGTGGTCAGTGAGGTAGTGAGGTAGTGGTCAGTGAGGTAGCGGGTAGTGGGTAGTGGGCAGTGAGGTATTGAGGTAGTGGTCATGGAGGTAGCGGGTAGTGGGTAGTGAGGCAGTGAGGTAGTGGGTAGTGAGGTAGTGGTCAGTGAGGTAAAGGGTAGTGAGGCAGTGAGGTAATGAGGTAGTGGGCAGTGAGGTAGTGGGTAGTGAGGTAGTGAGGAAGTGGGCAGTGAGGTAGTGAGGCAGTGAGGTAGTGGGCAGTGCGGCAGTGAGGTAGTGGGTAGTGAGTAGTGAGGCAGTGAGGCAGTGCGGTAGTGAGGTAGTGAGGTAGTGAGGCAGTGAGGCAGTGACGTAGTGGGTAGTGAGTAGTGAGGCAGTGAGGTAGTGGGTAGTGAGGCAGTGAGGCAGTGAGGTAGTGAGTAGTGAGTAGTGAGGCAGTGAGGTAGTGGGTAGTGAGGCAGTGAGGCAGTGAGGTAGTGAGTAGTGAGTAGTGAGGCAGTGAGGTAGTGGGTAGTGAGTAGTGAGGCAGTGAGGCAGTGAGGCAGTGAGGTAGTGGGTAGTGAGTAGTGAGGCAGTGAGGTAGTGGGTAGTGAGGCAGTGAGGTAGTGAGGTAGTGGGCAGTGAGGCAGTGAGGTAGTGGGTAGTGAGTAGTGAGGCAGTGAGGTAGTGGGTAGTGAGGCAGTGAGGCAGTGAGGTAGTGAGTAGTGAGACAGTGAGGCAGTGAGGTAGTTGGCATTGAGTAGTTAGGCAGTGAGGCAGTGAGGCAGTGAGGTAGTGGGTAGTGAGGCAGTGAGGCAGTTAGGTAGTGGGTAGTGAGTAGTGAGACAGTGAAGTAGTGGCTAGTGAGTAGTGAGGCAGTGAGGCAGTGAGGCAGTAAGGTAGTGGGTAGTGAGTAGAGAGGTAGTGAGGTAGTGGGTAGTGAGGCAGTGAGGCAGTGAGGTAGTGAGTAGTCAGACAGTGAGGCAGTGAGGTAGTTGGCATTGAGTAGTTAGGCAGTGAGGCAGTGAGGCAGTGAGGAAGTGGGCAGTGAGTAGTGAGGCAGTGAGGCAGTGAGGCAGTAAGGTAGTGGGTAGTGAGTAGAGAGGTAGTGAGGTAGTGGGTAGTGAGGCAGTGAGGCAGTGAGTTAGTGAGTAGTGAGACAGTGAGGCAGTGAGGTAGTTGGCAGTGAGTAGTTAGGCAGTGAGGCAGTGAGGCAGTGAGGAAGTGGGTAGTGAGTAGTGAGGCAGTAAGGCAGTGGGTAGTGAGGCAGTGAGGTAGTGGGTAGTGAGGCAGTGAGGTAGTGAGGTAGTGGGCAGTGAGGTAGTGAGGTAGTGGGAAGTGGGAAGAGAGGCAGTGAGGCAGTGAGGCAGTGAGGCAGTGAGGTAGTGAGTAGTGAGGCAGTAAGGCAGTGAGGTAGTGGGAAGTGAGTAGTGAGGCAGTGAGGCAGTGAGGCAGTAAGGTAGTGGGTAGTGAGGAGTGAGGTAGTGAGGTAGTGGGTAGTGAGGCAGGGAGGTAGTGAGGTAGTGGGCAGTGAGGTAGTGAGGCAGTGAGGTAGTGGGTAGTGAGGAGTGGGGCAGTGAGGCAGTGAGGCAGTGAGGCAGTGAGGCAGTGAGGAAGGGGGTAGTGAGTAGTGAGGCAGTGAGGCAGTGAGGCAGTAAGGTAGTGGGTAGTGAGGAGTGAGGTAGTGAGGTAGTGGGTAGTGAGGCAGTGAGGCAGTTAGGTATTTGGTAGTGAGTAGTGAGGCAGTAAGGCAGTGAGGCAGTGGGTAGTGAGTAGTGAGGCAATGAGGTAGTGAGAGTGAGTAGTGAGGCAGTGAGGCAGTGAGGCAGTAAGGTAGTGGGTAGTGAGGAGTGAGGTAGTGAGGTAGTGGGTAGTGAGGCAGGGAGGTAGTGAGGTAGTGGGCAGTGAGGTAGTGAGGCAGTGAGGTAGTGGGTAGGGAGTAGTGAGGCAGTGAGGCAGTGAGGCAGTGAGGTAATGAGTAGTGAGGCATTGAAGTAGGGAGGTAGTGGGCAGTGGGGCAGTGAGGCAGTGAGGTAGTGGGCAGTGAGGCAGTGAGGCAGTGCGGTAGTGGGTAGTGAGGCAGTGAGGCAGTTAGGTATTTGGTAGTGAGTAGTGAGGCAGTAAGGCAGTGAGGCAGTGGGTAGTGAGTAGTGAGGCAGTGAGGTAGTGGGGAGTGAGGCAGTGAGGCAGTGAGGTAGTGAGTAGTGAGGCAGTAAGGCAGTGAGGCAGTGGGTAGTGAGTAGTGAGGCAGTGAGGCAGGGAGGCATTGAGGTAGTGGGTAGTGAGTAGTGAGGCAGTGAGGCAGTGAGGGAGTGAGGCAGTGAGGTAGTGGGTAGTGAGTAGTGAGACGTTGAAGTAGGGGCTAGTGAGTAGTGAGGCAGTGAGGCAGTGAGGCAGTAAGGTAGTGGGTAGTGAGTAGTGAGGCAGTGAGGCAGGGAGGCATTGAGGTAGTGGGTAGTGAGTAGTGAGGCAGTGAAGGGAGGTAGTGGGAAGTGAATAGTGAGGTAGTGAGGTAGTAGGTAGTGAGGCAGTGAGGTAGTGGGTAGTGGGTAGTGAGGTAGTGAGGTAGTGGGTAGTGAGTAGTGAGGCAGTGAAGGGAGGTAGTGGGAAGTGAATAGTGAGGTAGTGAGGTAGTAGGTAGTGAGGCAGTGAGTAAGGGGTAGACAGGCAGTGAGGTAGTGGGTAGTTGGTAGTGAGGCAGTGAGGCAGTGAGGTAATAAGTAGTGAGGCATTGAAGTAGTGAGTAGTGAGGCAGTAAGGCAGTGAGGTAGTGGGAAGTGAGTAGTGAGGCAGTGAGGCAGTGAGGCAGTAAGGTAGTGGGTAGTGAGGAGTGAGGTAGTGAGGTAGTGGGTAGTGAGGCAGGGAGGTAGTGAGGTAGTGGGCAGTGAGGTAGTGAGGTAGTGGGAAGTGGGAAGAGAGGCAGTGAGGCAGTGAGGCAGTGAGGCAGTGAGGTAGTGAGTAGTGAGGCAGTAAGGCAGTGAGGTAGTGGGAAGTGAGTAGTGAGGCAGTGAGGCAGTGAGGCAGTAAGGTAGTGGGTAGTGAGTAGTGAGGTAGTGAGGCAGTGAGGCAGTGAGGCAGTGAGGAAGGGGGTAGTGAGTAGTGAGGCAGTGAGGCAGTGAGGGAGTGAGGCAGTGAGGTAGTGGGTAGTGAGTAGTGAGGCAGCGAGGCAGTGAGGCAGTGAGGCAGTGAGGTAGTGAGTAGTGAGGCAGTGAGGCAGTGAGGAAGTGGGTAGTGAGTAGTGAGGCAGTGAGGCAGGGAGGAAGTGGGTAGTGAGTAGTGGGCAGGGAGGTAGTGGGTAGTGAGGTAGAGGGTAGTGAGGTAGTGAGTAGTGAGGCAGTGAGGCAGTGAGGAAGTGGGTAGTGAGTAGTGGGCAGTGAGGTAGTGGGTAGTGAGGTAGAGGGTAGTGAGGTAGTGAGTAGTGAGACAGTGAGGCAGTGAGGTAGTGGGCATTGAGTAGTGAGGCAGTGAGGCAGTGAGGCAGTGAGGTAGTGGGTAGTGAGGCAGTGAGGCAGTTAGGTATTTGGTAGTGAGTAGTGAGGCAGTAAGGCAGTGAGGTAGTGGGTAGTGAGTAGTGAGAAGTGAGGCAATGAGGAAGTGAGGTAGTGAGGCAGTGAGACAGGGATGTAGTGGGAAGTGAATAGTGAGGTAGTGAGGTAGTAGGTAGTGAGGCAGTGAGGTAGTGGGTAGTGAGGAGTGAGGCAGTGAGGCAGTGAGGCAGTGAGATAGTGAGTAGTGAGGCAATGAGTAGTGAGGCAGTGAGGTAGTGGGTAGTTGGTAGTGAGGCAGTGAGGCAGTGAGGCAGCGAGATAGTGGGTAGTGAGGTAGTGAGGCAGTGAGGGAGTGAGGGAGTGGATAGTGAGTAGTGAGGCAGTGAGGCAGTGAGTAGCGAGGCAGTGAGGCAGTGAGTAGTGAGGCAGTGAGGCAGTGAGGAGTGAGGCAGTGAGTAGTGAGGCAGTGAGGCAGTGAGGCAGTACGGTAGTGGGTAGTGAGTAGTGAGGTAGTGAGGCAGTAGGTAGTGAGGCAGTGAGGTAGTGGGTAGTGTGTAGTGAGGCAGTGAGGCAGTGAGGCAGTGAGTAGTGAGGCAGTGAGTAGTGAGGCACTGAGGCAGTGAGGCAGTGAGATAGTGAGTAGTGAGGCAATGAGTAGTGAGGCAGTGAGGTAGTGGGTAGTAAGTAGTGAGGTAGTGAGGTAGTGAGGTAGTGGATAGTGAGTAGTGAGGTAGTGAGGCAGTGAGGGAGTGAGGTAGGGGATAGTGAGTAGTGAGGCAGTGAGGCAGTGAGTAGTGAGGCAGTGAGTAGTGAGGCAGTGAGGCAGTGAGGCAGTGAGATAGTGAGTAGTGAGGTAGTGAGGCAGTGAGGGAGTGAGGTAGTTGAGGGAGTGAGGTAGGGGAGTGAGGCAGTGAGTAGTGAGGCAGTGAGGCAGTGAGGCAGTGAGGTAGTGGGTGGTGAGTAGTGAGGCAGTGAGGTAGTGGGTAGTGAGGCAGTGAGGCAGTGAGTTTGTGAGTAGTGAGACAGTGAGGCAGTGAGGTAGTGGGTAGTGAGTAGTGAGGCAGTAAGGCAGTGAGGCAGTGAGGTAGTGGGCAGTGAGGCAGTGAGGTAGTGGGTAGTGAGTAGTGAGGTAGTGAGGTATTAGGTAGTGAGGCAGTGAGGGAGTGGGTAGACAGGCAGTGAGGTAGTGGGTAGTTGGTAGTGAGGCAGGGAGGCAGTGAGGTAATAAGTAGTGAGGCATTGAAGTGGGAAGTGAATAGTGAGGTAGTGAGGTAGTAGGTAGTGAGGCAGTGAGGTAGTGGGTAGTGAGGAGTGAGGCAGTGAGGTAGTGGGGAGTGAGGCAGTGAGGTAGTGAGGTAGTGGGCAGTGAGGCAGTGAGGTATTGGGTAGTGAGTAGTGAGGCAGTGAGGTAGTGGGTAGTTGGTAGTGAGGCAGTGAGGCAGTGAGGTAATAAGTAGTGAGGCATTGAAGTAGTGAGTAGTGAGGCAGTAAGGCAGTGAGGTAGTGGGTAGTGAGTAGTGAGGCAATGAGGTAGTGAGGTAGTGAGGCAGTGCGATAGGGAGGTAGTGGGAAGTGAATAGTGAGGTAGTGAGGTAGTAGGTGTGAGGCAGTGAGGTAGTGGGTAGTGAGTAGTGAGGTAGTGAGGCTGTAGGTAGTGAGGCAGTGAGGTAGTGGGTTGACAGGCAGTGAGGTAGTGGGTAGTTGGTAGTGAGGCAGTGAGGCAGTGAGGTAATGAGTAGTGAGGCATTGAAGTAGTTTGGTAGTGGGCATTGAGTAGTGAGGCAGTGGGGCAGTTAGGCAGTGAGGTAGTGGGCAGTGAGGCAGTGAGGCAGTGAGGAAGTGGGTAGTGAGTAGTGAGGCAGTGAGGCAGTGAGGTAGTGGATAGTGAGTACTGAGGCAGTGAGGCAGCGAGGTAGTGAGGCAATGAGACAGTGAGGCAGTGAGGTAGTGGGTAGTATGTAGTGAGGCAGTGAGGCAGTGAGGTAGTGAGCAGTGAGTAGTGATGCAGTGAGGCAGTCAGGTAGTGGGTAGTGAGTAGTGAGGCAGTGAAGTAGTGGGTAGTGAGTAGTGAGGCAGTGAAGCATTGAGGTAGTGGGTAGTGAGTAGTGAGGCAGTGAGGCAGTGAGGCAGTGAGGCAGTGAGGTAGTGGGTAGTGAGGGAGTAGGTAGTGAGGCAGTGAGGTAGTGGGTAGACAGGCAGTGAGGTAGTGGGTAGTTGGTAATTAGGCAGTGAGGCATTGAGGCAGTGAGGCAGTGATGCAGTGATGCAGTGAGGTAGTGGGCAGTGAGCAGTGAGGCAGTGAGGCATTGAGGCATTGAGGCAATGAGGTAGTGGGTAGTGAGTAGTGAGGCAGTAAGGCAGTGAGATAGTGGGTAGTGAGTAGTGAGGTAGTGGGGAATTGAGGTAGTGGGTAGTGAGTAGTGAAGCAGTGAGGCAGTGAGGTAGTGGGTAGTGAGTAGTGAGACAGTGAAGTAGTGGCTAGTGGGTAGTGAGGCAGTGAGGCAGTGAGGCAGTGAGGTAGTGAGTAGTGAGTAGTGAGTAGTGAGGCAGTGAGGTAGTAGGTAGTGAGGCAGTGAGTAAGGGGTAGACAGGCAGTGAGGTAGTGGGTAGTTGGTAGTGAGGTAGTGAGGCAGTGAGGTAGTGAGTAGTGAGATAGTGAGGTAGTAGGTAGTGAGTAGTAAGGCAGTGAGGCAGTGAGGCATTGAGGTAGTGAGTAGTGAGTAGTGAGGCAGTGAGGTAGTAGGTAGTGAGGCAGTGAGTAGTGAGATAGTGAGGTAGTGGGTAGTTGGTAGTGAGGCAGTGGGACAGTGAGGTAGTGGATAGTGAGGTAGTGGGGTAGTAGGTAGTGGGTAGTTTGCAGTGAAGCAGTGATGTAGGGAGGCAGGGAGTAAGGGGTAGACAGGCAGTGAGGTAGTTAGTGAGGCAGTGAGACAGAGAGGTAGTGGATAGTGGGTAGTGAGGCAGTGTGAGGCATTGAGGTGGTGGGAAGGGGGTAGTGAGACAGTGAAGTAGTGGGTAGTGAGTAGTGAGGCATTGAGGCAGTGAGATAGTGCGTAGTGAGAAGTGAGGTAGTGAGGTAGTGAGGCAGTGAGACAGTGAGGTAGTGGATAGTGAGTAGTGAGGCAGTGAGGCAGTGAGGCAGTGAGGTAGTGGGTAGTGAGTAGTGAGGCAGTGAGTAAGTGGGTTGTGAGTAGTGAGGCAGTGAGGTATTGAGGTAGTAGGTAGTGAGTAGTGAGGCAGATAGGCAGTGAAGTAGTGGGTTGTTAGTATTGAGGCAGTGAGGTAGTGGGTAGTTGGTAGTGAGGCAGTCAGGTAGTGAGGCAGTCAGGTAGTGGACAGTGAGTAGTGAGACAGTGAGGCATTGAGGTAGTGGGTAGTGAGTAGTGATGCAGTGAGGCAGTGAGGTATCNCAGAAATGATTTGGTTATGCAATAGCGATGCCGTAGAAAAAAAAACAATGCCTCATTACATTTTTAGGTGGAGGGACAGTGATCCTTAAGGGTTTTGAAAAAAGTTGTAACTATTCGATAACACTCCGTTTAAATCACAATAGAAAGATGAATTTACAATCAACAGACTGTGTAATAAGACAAACATTTTGAGTGTAAATCGACGAAAGTAATTTGGGTCACCAAAACTGACCCATTTTAGCGTTAGCCGTTGTAAGAAGCTGTGTGGATAACCTGGCATTTTAACTTTAGTGACATGGTAACGTATGATTATTATGCCTTTATTACAGTGTATTTCTATTCATCTCGGCGGAGATAGGTCCATTGTCACTTTATGGAATACACAATTAATTATATTTTCAGGTTATAATGATCCTTACAATTTCCGAAAATATACGGTTATATAACAATTATTAAGCAAATTTTACCACGGTTCATTAATCATTCTTGTCTGCCCGGATGGTAGCGCGCAGGAAGTGCTGATATGTGAGGAAACCGAAGCATCCGCAGAAAACCCATGTAGCCCGGCAGGTGACCCATACCTTTTCACTGGAAAACTCTCCAAAATGTTTATATAAACATTTGAGAATCATTACAATTTTACCTAACAAAATATATACCAAAGAAATATCGTATTTGTTAAGCTCGAATCCGTACATATACACATCCTTTGGCTGTAGAAGTTTGAAGGTATAATAATATACTTAATATATATAAGATTTGTAAACAGTGTAACTCCCCCTCTACATTAGAGGACGAATTTATTTTGTATTGGTCTGTTCTAAATTTGAAAATTTCAGGTTCCGTTTTATCAAAAGCTATCATTGGAAATAAACATCTGTGTTTAAAGTCGTTCAGTTATTGAGTGTTCATAATATTTAAGAATTGTGTCTACTAGGAAAATTCAGCTATGAGGCAAACAAATTAAGGGTATTATAATGGAATATGATTGTCTTCATTCTCTGTACGTTGTCCATGATTTGTGTATAATATGTATTGTATACTGATGGGCCAATGGCCTAAAGTTCAAATAAAACTTGAAAAACTTCCGATCGTGAAATCTAACCCGAGCCGTTTTGGTTAAAGGTGAATACGCTATATCCACTGCGCCTCCCGACCACCAATGAACTATCAGAGTTGGTTAAAAGTGAATACGCTATCCACTGCGCCTCCCGATCTATCAGAGTTGGTTAAAGGTGAATACGCTATCCACTGCGCCTCCCGACCACCAATGAACTATCAGAGTTGGTTAAAAGTGAATACGCTGTCCACTGCGCCTCCCGATCTATCAGAGTTGGTTAAAGGTGAATAAGCTATCCACTGCGCCTCCCGACCACCAATGAACTATCAGAGATGGTTAAAGGTGAATACGCTATCCACTGCGCCTCCCGACCACCAATAAACTATCAGAGTTGGTTAAAGGTAAATACGCTATCCACTGCGCCTCCCGACCACCAATAAACTATCAGAGTTGGTTAAAGGTAAATACGCTATCCACTGCGCCTCCCGACCACCAATAAACTATTAGATACTGTACTTTTGTTGAGGTAAATAGTTATATGGAACTGGGAAAGCGAATTTGACTGAGACAAAGTCGAGATTAATACCACTTTTCCGTTCTTTATAACCACATATTCACCGAAATAAGATGATTAAATCGTTATGTATTGTTTAATTTGATACAACAGTGAAATAAATAATAACAAGTAACATTTATACTCCTATTCTGTTTTCTTACAAAAATATCAAGCAATAAAATCTAGTTGATAGCGTAGACATCAACACAATAACCGGTGAGTAGTTCGGAAATCTCATACATTGTTTTCAAATATCAAACTTTATTTCACACGAAACAAATTATAACATCATACACGTCTCATTATCCCAGAAGCCTTAATTTCGGGTTAAACATGACTAGATCGTAAAATCACTAAATATGTAGGAACGTTTTAAATGGAAAAACAATATATATATATATATATTTACATTTGCTCTGCATTGCCACTATATATATATAGACAACATTCCGTGAGGTGGTCGGGAGGCGCAGTGGATATATATATATATATATCACACTACCAAAGCCAGTTCCGTGTTATGAGACCATGACAAAGGCGTAGTGATATATCCACGGGTCCGACTAACTACCGGATCTCTATTCCCCTCCGCACTAGCAAGGAGATAAAGCAAAACGAAAACACTATGGTTCAATAAAAGTAACCGTTTTAAGCAAGGCTATTATAAAATGTGAATTGAATATATATTAATTGAATACATTTTTGAAATCGTATCGATGTTTTTGTGTATATTTTCACGAACTATATCGGGAAAATTACGAGACAACATCCCGTGAGCCATGTTGGTTAAAGGTCGGGAGGCGCAGTGGATCAAAATGGGCTGTTCTACCTCTCAAACACCGCAACATTCGAATTTAAAAGTGAGTTGTGATATAGATATGAAAATTAAAAACATAAAAATGTAAATATAAACATAAAACATCATCATGTTCCGTGTTATGGTCCTAACGCGCGTTATTCATTTTGTCTGCAATCCTGTTCCATGTTGTAGGACCATAACACGGAACAGAATGCTGTTGAATGCTTCAATACCCCCCATACAGTTGCCAGGTAGCCACATAGTGAGGTCGTTAGGTTAATGGTAGTTAGGTACATTTAGAAATAGTATGGGTTTGTGGTGGTTAGATAGAAAGACAACCGCGCGCATTAGTAGTGGTTGGCTCGTGATATAACCGGATTAGTGTTAGTTAGGTACGTTTAGTGATACCACCGGGTTAGGGGTTGTCGGGTAGTGTGACAACTGTACATGTGTATGTTCTGGTTACAAAGTTAGACAACCCGGTTTGTGGTAGATATGAGGGGAGACAACAGGGTAAGTGGAGGTTAGAAAGTTAGACAACCAGATTAAGTGGTGGTAAGGTAGCGAGACTACCGAAGAGGTAGTGGTTATGTAGTTAGACAAAATGAATAACTGAAAAGAAGCAAAAATCTCAAAATACTCAGGTGTGACAACATACCCACTCAATAATTAAACATACAACACAGAATGTAAAAGATAGGCAGAACGAACTAATTTTTAAACGTTTTTATTGTAAGACTTGTGCAGATATAAGCTCTTAATACATTATGTCAGCAGGTAACAAAAAGAAAACAATCATCAATCACACTTTATCAATTAAAAAAAAAAAAAAAAAAACAAAATTT